GTCAAGGAAGGGCTTATAGTAACACAAACCTCTGAAGTTGTTAACTTACAAAACATTTGATTTTGTATTCTTAAAAAAACACGGACCTAAGATTTCATATTTTTTTTAGTACTTGACGCTGCTTAGATACTTAAGTTAAAATTGTGCAAATTAACAAACAGTGATTATAGAATTATTTAAATAAAGCCCCTTAATAAAAGTTAACAAGTTAACCACGTTTGTCCTTTTCGTATAATCTCTGTTTAGGCTAAGAAGTATAACAGGGGTGCTTACCTGCATTTACACAAACCACCCGGATAGAAATCTTGTGCATAAACATATATAAAGCTGTAAAGTTGACGTAGCGGGAGAACGTCCTAGTACAAAGTATATCCAATTCAGCTGAACAGACTAAAAAGAGAAAATTGCATCGCCACAAATCCAGCCCATATTTTCGAAGCTTCCCAAAAGAAATGGCGCGAACAATTTGTTTTTCAAACTGCATCGAATTTTCGGATTTTCCATGTAAATTGTAAGCATCCCAGGTTTGTAACTATTTCCGACAAACTAAACAGAAAATTTCATCTCTCTATTGAAAATATGTCTAGTATACAGACGCTTTTCGTGACGAGCCACAATAACTTTTTTTAAAGTATAGTTGTAATACTTGTAATTATCCTTGTATTAGTGCCGGGTTGACAAGTTTTCTTGTAAAGGGACAAAATTTCTTAGTTAAGGCTGCTTAACGACTTTACATCCCAGAGGAGAGAAAAAAAAAAACAACATTTCAATTTCGCTATGATTTAGCGATGGTCATATTTCGTGATTTCCTCCAATATAGTCGATCCTCCGCTAACGGCAACCTCTCTACAACGGCCACTTTCTTCTGTCTCCAAGGTGGCCGTGGTAGAGAGGTTCAACTGTAAATATTAAGGTCCATCTTCTGAGAGATTGCATCCACAACTGAAACAAAACGGTAACTTGGGCGAAGTAAAGGAGCAATACTCTTAACTTCGGTTCCCGGGTCGTAAGCTTATACATCACACGATGAATGGAGATCATGTAAACTGTCCTTTAGTAGATGAAACGTCGACGCCTACGTTCCATAGGCGGACTGAAGAACAAAATAAACCCTTGCTAGAAACAAGGCCTTCTTAATTGTAACGATACAGTGCGCTGTATTTCCACAGAACTGTTTTCGGATGACGATGAATCTAGTTTGTTGTAGCGTGGCAGTTGTGGCGTTACGATGTCGTCATGTCTCTTCGCACTTGTTTGTCTTTTTTTTCTGCGGTGCATGATTGAGATGTTGGTGAATGCTGGACAAGGAATGGATTCTGTGAGAGACTGTAAGTACAAATTTACTATTAATTTGTAAAGAAAAAGCCTGAATATCGAACAAATCCCGTGAATTAGCTTTTTGGCATTCACTTTATCTTGCTGTTAAGCATGCCTAAATGTCGGTACACACTAGGCGACAAGTTGCAGCAACACGTCGCGAGAACAGATCACTCCATGTGAACAGGTCGGGCGACTAGTCGTGGCAACACGGTGAGGCGACACATCGCAGCGACAAATCGCTTCGTGTGTACTGGAGAATTTTTTGTGAAAATCTTTGTCTCCGCAACGGAACTTTGTCGCTGCAACAAGTCGCAAAAAATAAAATCAGACTGAATCTGTGCGACTTGTTGCGGCGACAAAATTCTGTTGCAGCGACAAAGATTTTCACAAAAATTCTCCTGTACACACCCAGCGATTTGTCGCTGCAATGTGTCGCCTAGTGTGTACCGACCTTAAGAACTGCGGCATAAGTGGTTGTCAACTCGTTCACTTCGGATTGTTTCTGTTTGTATGTCTTGTAATCTTCTTTTGCTGCTAAGAAGACTAGAGAAAACTTCAAAAATATAGAAACCAAAGCTAAAAAAAGTCAGATCTAATTTTATAGCTCGAGCATAATTATTTTTGATACCTACGGTTTGCAATACAATCAAACGGATATTACAATCACTTTTGGAGACAAAATAAAATATCCGTAAATCATATGCCAAAATCAGATTTGGATTTCGCTTTAAAAAAATGAATATGCTGCAGGTGTCAATGCAATATAAGCAGTCTGTGAATATGCGTTTAGGTCCACAAAACTAATTTTTCTTTTGGACATCTCATCCAGGCAAAGACTTAAGGCTTACATTGCTTGTCTACCAGTGTACTACAAAATGCTTTGCTACAGTAAGCCTCTGAGAGGTGATTCTGGTAAATTTATAGGACGCTAAAATGCAAAAAATTCTATTTAGTAAGCTTAACAACCTGGCTGGGTCCGACTTTTGAATTACAAAATGTTCACGTTTTCCGGCTCTACTTTAAATGCACATGGTTTTTGAAATGATTTTGTACTATTTTAGCTCGAAAATTATGATTGGGTTATAATGCTTTTAAAACGGACAAAAACTAAGCTAATAAACGTGTTCAATGTAAAAAACTAAGATTTAGTCGTTTTTTCAACTTTGCTTTGTGGGCCGAAAAATTTACCTTTACGCAAAAACAAAAAGCAAACAATGAGGCTTTTATTCAACATATTTGGTGAGAATTTTATCTGATCAATTTAATGTCACTAGCATTGTTTTCGTATAGGAATTTTCCTAATTATATGAGCTTTTAATTTAATAATTTTGATACTTTATAAACTTCTCATTTGATAGCTTCACTTTTTTATACACCGATTGAGAAACAAATTCGCTCTCGTTAAATCCTATTTTATGACCTATTTATTAGAACTCTAGGTAACATACGAAATGATGTAACCGGACAGGCTTTAACCTTTGGTCCTAATGTATTTTTTCTTCAAAACCCCTAATCAGTTGACGGGCCATGAGAGAATACCGCCACAAAAAGATGCGAAAAATTTTTCTCTGAGTTTCCTTTACATATTCCGGCTTTATATGGGTCTACGCCTTACCTGCTTAAAAATGAAACTGTTGTTCAGGTGTCAGTTAAACTCGGGATAATCTTGCCTTGCAAACCCAAATGCAAAGGTTTATTTCGCAGTAGAAGAGCATGTAAACATCATCGAACAACACAATGTAAATTGGCTAATGTGAAATCACGTTTCTTTCACTTTATTTACCATGCATTTATCTCAATTGCACACTCTTGCTTGTGAAATTAGCCTCAGACAATTAGCTGCGACCTTTAACAGACTCAACAAGGCAGTATGAAAATATGTTAAGAGAAGCTGAGTCTACATGTTCTATTTCTTTTTTTTCATATTGCCCTTGCATGTGTTAACATTCCATTTCTTTTTTGTTACAGGTAACTTCCAGACATGACGAGGAGATAATTACTTTTCTCGAGAGCAATTCTTTGATACTGTCAGTTGTTACTGACTTACTTTGAGTTAAAAACAAAGAACACAGACACTGGTAATGACACAAGAACACTAATCCCTGGCAAGCCTACAAAACAAGAAAGAGGGACTCAGACTAGCTCCTTATCAAAATGTGAAGCAAGATAAAAACAGCTTTTCTAACGTAGGAAAATTGCATTAGAGAGATTTGTAATTGCAACGTTATATTCAAGCACATTGCATTGTCAAACAGCATAATTTACTGAATGATGAACAGTGATTTTGGGGCTTAGCTCAGTTTGTAATGAACTTTGAAAGATATTCTATTACCTTGTATTTTTAAAAGCTTTCATGGAGCATAGATGCATTTTATTAGAGAATGAAAATAGTCTTTGTCTCTCTTCTTACTGATTTCAGTCAATTCCATTTTATTCGCAATGTGAAATGGGAATCCTATTAAAGACTCATTAAAAGGGGTGAGGAGTTTTTACAATCCCCCAACAGGTCATCTCCACGATGACGCTGTTTTATTACTACGGCAGAATCCCTCAGGGTTTTACGTTCTTGTGAAAATTAGAGCTTTTGTTATTTAAACTTCGCTGGGACAACTAAATCTATGAAAATGAAAGGAATAGCAATGACGTCATCGTGTAACCGTACATCAAAAGATAAGCACGGTGATCTGTTTAGTTTTTTTTTTAGCCAGGCTTAAAATATCTGTAGATTCAAGGAATTATAACCTGTGCGTTGAGAGCATGCCAGAGACCGATTTTGGCATGCCCGGAATGACCCAGATTATGGCACGCCCGGCATGTCAGAGAATGTGGCATGCCCGGCATGCCGGAGATTTTGCTGGGTATGAATTACTTATTACTAGAACCTAGGCTTCTCGCGGCCTGGGTGAGAAGGTCACGGAACCTCAAATTATGCTTACAGGCCATGCGAAATTCTGTTGCATGCCAATTTCAATGCAAAACCACTCTGGGGCTACCCCCTCTATTACCAGTGAGCAAATTATTGACGATAGGCATGGGAAAAATCCTTGCATGCTAACCAACATTGAAAACGTAGCAGAAATGTCCTCAGTTGCTGAGTCATGCCCTAGGGGAGGCCGTAAAATACAGAATTTCCTGACTGGATGAGGGAATTTTCCGTAAACAGCATGTGATCATGCCGGCTAGGACGTATTGCCTCCGTATCGCCCCTTTTACAGCTAGCTAGGCTCGTTTTTAGGTTCCATGGCCTGAAATGACGAAAAATTCATGCCCTAAATGTAAAAAGTCCAAAAACGTCCTCGAAATTTTAGTTTCCAAGCCGTTTGTTACTGGTTGTTATTCTAAGATGACAGCCTCAGTTTCATTTCAGTAAATGTAAGTGAAAGAAAGGGTCTGAAGTGAAACCATGGGGCTCTGTGGTAATCGTGTTTGTTTCCCGGGTATTTTCCATTTAAATTGACATAGTGGCAACTCTTGTACCACTAGGCACCAGTATATGCCACAGCACAGTTACGAGAGTCGTCAATATCGTTATCTCGGTCTTTTGTGGTAAACGCCATCTTTTTATGATATGACAACGAATCTCCCGCCGTTCCTGAATATGAACCCACTTCAAGTCGATACTTCGCCTGCTCATCACCAATGTTAAACTTGCAATATTTGTCATACACTCTTACTCCATTCTAGTCCTCTAGCTCCACTCGTAGAGTGCTGGGTCTAGCGGCCGTCAGCCTGTGGATCTTGTCATTTCCTAACCAGAACTCAGCTGTCAGCTGCCCTAAGCCTGATTTGTAATCATTCCAACCGCGATAAAAGTCTACCGAGCCATCTTGTCTTCTCTGGAACACGGTCCATCCTCCACCATGAGTGTCCATGTCACAATATACATTAAAGGAGCCTCTTCCATCCGGATCTACGGAGTATACTCCATTCTGAGTATAGCCTGACTTTAGCAGATCAGAGCAATCTTGGGGGATAAATAAGAAACGCTTTATTAATAACAAAGTATCAAGTTCGTATCTTATTAGCCGGCTATATATTCAGACCGAGGGGAGCTTTTGAGGCCTTCTAGCTCTCAGGTTGGTGTATCATTTATTTTATTTTATTTTATTATGTTTTAATAAAACAATATTTATTCAGGGGTACCCAGTTCAGCGAGGCTGGTTTGAATGGGGTCCTGCTGTAAAAGAAAACAACAAGACTCAAGACAAATAAAGATAAAAAAGAATGGTTCAACTAAGTACTACAAAAAGTAGTGGAGGCTCAATTTGGCTTAGATCCAAAGTACCTTTTTAGGCCAGACGCAAACTTATTAATATCATGCTCGCTCCTCAGGTACAGAGGAAACGTGTTCCAGATCTGGGCTCCGCTGAACCTGAAGGAGCCCTGGTACTTGGTTGTCATTTGTTTTATTAATTTAAGGAATCAATTGATGTTTCTGGGTAACTGACCACCTAAATATACCCTTCCCCTAAGTCAACATTAACACTTACTTCTCTCTAAGGTCAAAATTGTGACTTATGGGAAGGAGGGTAGGAGGGGTAAGGTGGTAAGTTACTCTAGAATGACTTTCCACTGCATATAAGGAGCAAAACGTTTCTTAAGAATTATTCACTTTGGAAAGAGCCACCTCTCTTCAGTAACTGTTCCAAAGGTCCAAGGGACGTGTCTCCCCCCGGTTTTTACCATGCTGGCTCGTACGTCCTAAGATTAACCTGGCCAACAAACCCCCTCCCATCCCCTCTTTGGCTTTATCCTCTCTCGTAATAAAGACATAAACGAAGTCCTTGTTTACATTTAGAAGGCAGAACATCAATAGTGGTGACAGTTTCCACGTCAAACACTCCTGCAATCG